TTATACAAATATACTAAGTGACATATAAATCCGAGGACCCAGTATAAATGGTTTTATTTTAATAAAATTTTGTATAAAAACTTAATGAAGCATAATAAGTAAATGATAAAAATTTCAAAATGATTGCACTGCTTTAAAGCCCTTTTGACCTTTAATAATGTGTGGAAGCACCCTGATGTGCTACGCATTCTCCAACGCGCCTAGGCATGCTTCTCATCAGGTGGTCAATGTCCTCCTGTGGTATCTCATTCCAGGCAACCACCAACTCCTCTCGAAGTGCTTCTAGAGTCTGAGGAGGACGTTGCAAATTGAGCAATCTTCTACCCATCATATCCCACACGTGCTCAATTGGGGATAAGTCGGGAGATCTTGGTGGCCATGGTAACAATGTGACATCACTATGTTGAAAGAAGTCTATTGTGACTCTTGCAACATGTGGTCGGGCATTATCTTGTTGGAAAGTTGGATCTGCCAGGGTGTCACGATAGAGTAAAAGATAGGGTTCTAGAACTTCGTGGATATAACGCTGCGCGTTCATGTTACCTCTGATGAAGATTAAAGGTGACCTGGAACCATAAGCTATAGCACCCCAAACCATAACTCCAACTGTGTGATGAACATGTCTTTCAACAAAAAAACTGTAGATTCCTCCTTTCACCACGTCGCCTTCTAACCCTGGCGCGACCATCGTGCATGCCTAAACAAAATCGAGACTCGTCACTAAAGACAATACTGTCCCATTCCTGATCCCAGAGTGACCGTTGTCTGCACGACTACGTCGGTGTTCTCGAGTTAAAGGGAGGACCCAGTGTGGCCGGTATGAAAACAAGCCAAAACTTCTCATTCGTCGGTAAACACTTCGCATGCCAATAGGTCTTCCGTGTTCTGCAAACCATTCATTTGCAATGGACCTGGTAGTGGAGAAACCGTCCCTTAAGGCCAATAATCTTAGGCGGCGATCTTCACGGTCTGTTGTTCTACGGCGGCGTCCAGTGCCCCTTGCTCTTGGCGTACGGCCTTCTCGAAGCCATGCCTGACAACACCTAACCACAGTGTCTACACTTCTTTGCACTCTAACTGCAATTGCCCGAAAAGAAAGTTGACGAAATCGTACAGGTCTCCGTACCCTAGGCATCGTAACCGATCGTAAAGGATGTCAAGAACCAAAATCCGCCAACGTTGATTCTTTACTGCCGCTGAAATATTCATTTTTAGAGCGTTAGTGAATTAAAAAAAAGCAGTATAAAAACCGGAATGTCCAACTGATAAGGCTGAAAATTTTTTCACTTGTTATTTACAGTAAGATAAATACATTCACCAACTTTTATTAAAATAAAACCATTTAAACTGGGTGTTCGGATTTATATGTCACTTAGTATATGTTAATACCATCGAATTCAGACTAGGTGGAAGGAGCCAATCAAGGGTTTGTTTGTCCCCTAATTCTCATAGAGGATCAAAGTGCATAAGTCAACTTTTTGACGGTTCTGTCATTAAATACGTATAGTTATAGTGTTTCATTTTTCAACGTGTGAGTGCAGATAATTGAGATGTTAGACGATTTCAAGACATAATACAGGGTGGGCCATAGAGTGTTGGCGATTTAAATCTTAAATTTCTCGGCGCGGTTGCCTGGAAATTTAGTCGCCATGGAGCCGTACACGGGAGCGCAGCGTGCATTTTTGTCCGAGCGTATTATGAAAACAATAAATCGGTTATTACTGCACGACGTTTGTATCGACATGAACACGGTTTACTCGATTTAAGAGAAGTTACAAGCGCCAATGTAATACGCAAATGGATCAGAATGTTCGAAACAACAAAAATATAGAAGAAAACTATGCAATTTTGGCGACAAAAAAAGCAATCTAAATATATACTCCAATCTATCCTAATTCATTGTTAAAATTGGCTCAAGTCGCAGAATACCAAGCAAAAAATAATGTCAAATTATTTTATTTCTCCGTTGTAAAAAACTGAAATAAGGTATTTTTTGCCCATTTAAGCATTTGTTCCTCACAGGCGGAAAAAATCCGGCAACTCTCTATTACGGTCGATCCATCCTTGACAATCTAAACAGGTCAATCATTTTCCATAAATATATATACAGGGTTACAGGAAAAGTCGTGCTAGATCCGTTAAGGGCGTGTAGTACCCATCATTTCTGACTTATTTCATTATGAAACACCCTACCCTAAACTTAACCCTTTTCGAGATATTCAACTTTTAATGTTTTTATTGAAAATTGCCGATTTTTAGGCTACTAAATGTATTTATTTTTATTTTGTGTGTGTTATTATTACTATTATTGCATTTTAACATGTGTAATAAGATGCTTTAGGACGTCAATCATTAAAATAGTCCATAAGTTAATTGAATAGGCTGTAGTAGATAAGTGAATGTTAAGAAATTGAAAAAAATATCAGAAAGTTTATTTTTCTCTAAGGGATATCTAAAAAAAATATTATGGCAATTGTTCGGCAGATGTGTTTTAAAATATCTGTGTTTTATCAACTATCTAACGAGGTATAACAATCTAGGATTTTATTTAAATGCATTGAAAAAACTTAGTTTCATAGGCGACAGTGGAGAAGAAAATTGATACTTAGCCCTAAAAAGTAAAATAAAACAATAGGTAAGCATGAAATATCATTTATTAAATCAGGTTTTCACACAACTTTTTCTTACTCTACAGTTCATGTTCAACATGGCTGCCTCTGTTTCTAATACATTGTCGCATCCTTCTACGGAGACCAGTCTTTACAACTGCAGTGGTCAACGTTGTCCTTAGTTGATTTGCTGCATCGACAATCCTTTCTCTTAATTCTTCCACAGACGAAACTGGATTTGGCTCGCTCTAGACAAGACTTTTCATGCACCCCCACACATGAAAATCCATGGGGGTTAGGTCCGGACTTCTTGCTGGCCATGGCAACGGCCCACCTCATCCTATCCATTTGTTTGGATAATTTGTGTTCAGCCAGTCTCTGACACTTCTCCTGAAATGGGCAGGGCAGCCATCATGTTGGAACCACATGTCCCTTCTCAAGTTGAGTGGCAGATCATCCAGCAAATCTCTGAAGTCTCCTCTCAAGAAGTTTTCGTAATTTTCCCCATTTAGATTGTCCGGGAGAAAGTAAGGTCCAATCAAATGGTTGGAGATAATGCCCATCCACACATTCACGCTGAATCTTCGTTGGGACCTCGCCACTCTTTTCTTATTGGGATTCCTTAGTACTTTTGGGGCCCAGTAATGGGCGTTGTGATAGTTAGTTATGCCATCGTTATCAAATTTGGATTCATCTGTCCATAAGATATTTCTTAGAAAATCTGGGTCTTCTACGTCAGCATTTAGCATAAATCTGCTGAAGTCCAACCTTCTCGCGGGGTCTCCTTCTTCAATAGTGTGTACCGGCGTGTAATGGTACGGGTATAGGCCAGCAGTATGCACTGTAAACGTAAAACCACACTCTCCATTGCGAAAGTCCCAGATCAGTATATGAGAACATTTGTAAGAAATGCTCAATTCTCGGCAAATGCTTAAATTGAACAAGATATGCAACAATACAGTTGGTGCGTTAAGGTCCTCGCAGACCTTATTTCTTCTGCCGGCATACCTACTGGGCAGTATTTCTGCTAGATTCATAAAGTAGTGTACAAATACGCAGAAGAAAATGGGAAAATTGGGTCCGAGTAAAGATAATATGGCCACGCAAGTCAACTGTTGCAATGTATTCTACTAGACTCTAGAAGACCATCTGTATAGAAATTTTTGCCGAAATCGTTGTACAACACTTAAAAAATGCAAATGAAAATTGCTACTTTTCTTTATGACTCTGTCGGTACCCCGGGATAGACATCCGTGTTGACGGATAACCTTGTCATTCTTGCCACCTGGATTGCGGCGTTGCCAGCTTATCGAACGATTTTGCTATCTCTGCTATTTTGATAGAATATTATATAAAAAAGGAAGTTTTGAATAAAATACTGAGGAATACCAGTGGAGATATATAAAATTTGAGGCGTAGCAATGTTTGCCAAAAGACTAAACAAAAGCCGTTATTTACATTTTGCGTCGCCTGGCGTCCAAGCTCCGGAACGTTAATGTCTATGAACATGCTTTAAATGCCCAGTTTTATAGGATAAAATACAACAATTGGAAAAAAACAATGTTTCATTACATTACTATATTTATTAACTATTTGATCTAAAATTACATGATCTTAATAGGAGAAGTACGATTTTCATTTTACTCTACAATTTTTAGTATCCGTCTTATACGCAAAGATATTACACACAGCTTTATAACTTGACTCCAACTTATAACTCGTCGATCATGTGGAATTACAGATAGACGTATTTTGGACGCATCATATCCCTAATCTTGCTGGTCATTTGGTGCCAGTATCCTACAAGAACCAAAGTAAGACATTGTAGTTTCCTAAACACGGGACTGGCATTCCAGGTTTGAAAACAAAACGCCAGAAAATCAACGATTGATTTTTTGCACCATATTTAGTAAACATACGAGTAGTGTCAAGAGCTTAGTGTCAAAGCACGATACTGTCAATTATAGACCAATTCCTTGGACTAAAAATAGTATTTTGATTGAGGCTTTGCTAATATTTTTGATATTTTTCAGAAATGAATGTACGTACACAAGAATACTTACAAAAACGTTAGATTAGTGCACGTTTCTGTGAATTTCTTTTTATAATAATGTATTACAGTAATATCACAATCTTACATCAAGCATTTGTTTGCAACGCCTACTTAAATAAAATGAAAAAATATTATTATATCTTAAAAAAACAAATGTAACGTGGTACATCGTTGAAGTCGTAGAAAAAGATGCTATTAGATACAGTGTCGTCCTTTCCATCATGTAGTTAGTTTTTTGACATTTCTTAAAATAAAGTCAGACAAAAATAAAAACGATTTCGCCAAATTTTAGTTTTTCCCAAATACCTCAGTATATGACTAATCTCTCAGTGAATGCAATGTGCGTAATTTATTTAAAAAAAAACACTACTTTGCTACGCGCGTATCCTGTTTTCCTCAGAAGAGTTTTTAGTAGACCTAATTTCCATTTGGAGACACTTTCAACACCCACGTCACAACACTAAAACACCTAAGCGCCACTGAGAGACAATCGAGAACCGTATAGTGAACACCACTACTAAAAAAAGTAGCTAAACCAAATACAGCTGTGCACGGTGCTGCGAACGCGTGGACATTCCGCTGCGCCGACGGTTGCCGAGAGACTGAAGCGTGCAAGTCTGCGAGTGGTGTACCTCGCTGCGGCGATACGGTACAGCCGGGTAGTACAGCCACGCCCATTTCCAGCTCCCACTCCGCGCGTCTGCTCCCGAAGCGACTCGTTGTTTACGTTGACCCGTAGCAGACGCGCGGAGTGGGAGCTGGAAAGGGGCGTGGCTGTACAACCCGGCCGTACCGTATCGCCACAGCGAGGTACAGCACTCACACGCTTTAGTCTCTCGACAACCGTCGGCGCAGCAGAATGTCTACACTTTCACAGATCCGTGCAGAGCTCTATTTGGTTTTGGTATTCAGTATAGGGTTCTGGATTGTGTCTTAGTGCTGATTTGGTGAGCCTTGCATACTCATCCACTTGTGTGTTAGGGTTGACATCCTATGTTTGTAATTCCACATGATCGAAGAGTTATAAGTTGGAGTCAAGTTATCAAGCTGTCCATTTTTAGCTTCCTCAAAATGAATGCCTAATATCTCTGCGTATAAGAGGGATACTAAAAACGGTAGAGTAAAATGAAAATAGTACTTCTACTATTAAGATCATGTAATTTTAGATCAAATAGTTAATAAATATATGTATATAATGAAACATCGTTTTTTCCGATTGTTGTATTTTATCGTATAAAACGCCAGGCGACGCGAAATGTAAGTAACGGCCTTTGTCTAGTCTTTTGGCAAAGATTGCTACGCCTCAAATTTTATATATCTCCACTGGTATTCCTCAAATTTTATTCAAAACTTCTTTTTTATAACATTCTATAGAATAGGAGAGGTAGCAAAATCGTCCGATAAGCTGACAACTCCGCAATCCAGGTAGCAAGAATAGCAAGGTTATCCGTCAAGACGAATGTCTATCCCGGTGTACCGACGGAGTCATTTACAACGTCAAAGCGGCAATTTTCCAATTTTCATTTGCATTAATTCAAATGTTGTGCAACGATTTCAGCAAAAATTTCGCTACGGATACTCTTCTAGAGTCTAGTAGAATACAGTTCAACAGATGTCTTGCGTGGCCATGTTATCTTTATTAGGACCGCAAATTTAGAATGATGGAATTACGACGATTTTCCAGCACATTAATCAAATTCAAGCGGATAACCAAATGGAAATGGTATTTACCATTTTGGGTTGGTATTTACCGATCCGTTCAAGCGAGTGTAGTTATCAGTTTGGTTATAAGATCCGTGACGTCACGAATCAGCTGTTATATGTCATAGTTATCACCGCAAAATTGTGGTATTTACCCAACTCAAGAGTAGTTTTATATTTCTGGTTATTATTTGAAATGTGACAAGTTAGAATTTTGCCGGGTATTGGATATTGTTATTGTACTTCAGCTTCATTTTTGAGAAAATTGATACAGGCTGAGTTCAGTTTTACCATAAAGTGGAGTACCTTATTATTTATACTCATTACGGTTGTTGGGGACACTTTAAATGTAGTTCCTATGCTTAACAAAGTATCCTGTGTAGCCATATACCACAAGAATATTAAAATATGGCCATATAAACTCACTAGATGATATCCACCTATATACGGTTTTGCTAATTTCTTTTTTCATCATTTCTGCTGAATCAATACATGTTTTCTTTGACATGCGGAAAAATTTAGAGAATTGAAAGTTATCATAGCTACAAAGCCATGGTTCCATCATTAAAAAAAAATCTGAAAAAACATTTCTCCCATGAATATTATGAAAGGTTTCTTATTTAAACTTTCCATATACAGTTGTAGACGAAAACGCACCGATTATTAAGTGAAAAATAATCAGAGATTATATACGCGCTTTTCTAAAATAAACAACTTGCAACAAAACCGCGGTTAAAACCAACGCGTTCAAGCGATTCGTGTAACTGACGTCATCAACCCGTGTGACATCTTGAACCATATTATAACCGCGGCACATAACACAGAAATTTTGGTTATTCGCTTGGATTTGATTATTGTGTTCGTTTTACACTCACCTCAAACCTATGATCGGACTTCTGGTCACAACTTCCGGGCTACCGAGCAACCTTAAGGAAAATGGTTGTGAGGGGCTTTCGACATTGACGTTTTAAATGTCAATTACTACCAACACCAAAGTACCAACCTAATAGCATCAATTGTTTTCGAGTAATTCTGACGTTATTATCCGGCATTATCAGCATACATACCCCATTTTTTTCAATAAAAAGCCACATTATTTGATTAGTATATTTTTTGGAGGCAGTATTCAATTTCGTAGGCACACTGGCTTCCTGCGGAAACAGCTACGCCGGTATGGACGTTGAACCAATATCCTGCTCGTCCTCGGGTAAGAACGTTTTCTAGACGTTTCCAAATATTTCCACACAATTCGAGATAACTTCAACTTGTATAAAGCCTGAGTGTATCCGCGACGTACGTTGGTGGTGGATACGTATCAAACATTTTTGTATTCAAATTTCCATCCATACGTTCATTTTATCTGAGATACTCCTTTTTTTGTCGTGGCATTTACACCTACACTGTATACTGTGATACGTATCTGGTGTTGTACAAGTGTAAATACCTTTCCTAGGGATCTCCACAGCAGTGGTTCTGCAAGCAATGCCGAAAATCGACGAAGATCACATGTTGAGCAACAAACCACCTAAAGAAAGGGTAGTGGAAATGTTGGACATGCTAGAAACTCATGTTGAAAAGCTGCGAAGAGGAGCCAGTCAATTAGAGGAGGACAAGGATGCATTGTTGTCTACGTTGGATTCTGTTGTGAATGCGGATTTGATGTATAATTTGGATGAAAGTGAGTCCGCTCTAGGTAACTGCTTATTTTTGTCAACTCAGCTAAAATCATTAGTTTTTTTTGCATGATATTGACAGGCTTAAGGTGGTTAATTTTATTATCAAGATATGTTGATGCCTTATATGAGATACTGATTTTATGCAGCTCTTATAACAGATATTCTGACAATTTGTAATTGGACTTATTCTCAGAAAACTTATTTTTAACAACAAATGGAATCTGTTATGGATGAATTGCTTGTCTATTTTTTTCTGAAGTTGATCTATTTAAGAATGACAAACCAAAACAATGTTCAGTGTGTAATCAGTATGGTGATACAAAAAATGGGGATCTTTACTGTTGTTGGGCAGAATTATTTGAGCCCATATATACAAATCTTAATCAAAACTACAAATTTTGGAAATAAACCCTGAAAAACACCTTTTTGTGGTTAATGAAAATTGTCACCCTGGCACAATTCAAATTGCATATTTTCTCACTTAAATGTGACAAATCAAGAAATGATTTGAAACTAGTGCAATTTGGTACAGTGAAACCAGAAATGCATCAGCTGCTCACATAGTGTTAGCATATATCCTTTTGCCAGTGGTTCCACTATTTACTCTGGTATATCTTTCTGAATTTCAGTGGTGCATTACTCTAACTATGAAAAAAACGATTCATGAATATAATAATTAAGGGCTCTAAATTTCGTTCTCTTCATTTTTTGGCATTCTAGAGAGTCTTTTGAAAAAATTTGGTGGTACAAAACTATAGGGTTTGGTTGGTGGTGTTGGGGAATGTGGAAGGGCATGACTCAATTTTTTCCTTCTGCTATCTGGGCTCAGCACCCAGTGTCATGATATGTTTGAATGTTGCTCCTACTGGTAAGGGACAATATGTTATTTATTTATATCATCATTGAAGTATATTTTCCATAGTTTAAATGTCACCCCCTGTCCACACATTTTGCTATAAAATCTGTCAGAATCAAAATATTTGACCCTAACAAATATGTACTACATATCATATTGTATTCTGACATAATGAACATGAAAACAAAATAAGTTGTTTTTATTAATTGACTCTGAAAACACCATATATTCACCTATAAATAATGTTTCCGAGAGTGTAATTAACAAAATGTTATCATTAAAAAGTCTTTAATGCTTTCTTCAAATATTTAGAGTAGATATGTACTTTCTCCAAACATAGTGAAAAAGTAGTTAGGTGTCCTTGTTAATTAAAAAAAAAATCAACTACGGCTGGCAACTGTGGGTTATTAATAGTTATCCAAGTATTGATTTATAAATATCTTTTTGTAAGGAGTAGGGTTATGGAGCTATAGAGAGCATATGCTTAAAGACCTGTAAATTTGAGGATCATTATAAAATGCTAATATAAATTTTCATTAATTTTTTAAATTGTCCTTACACATACTTATCTCACCTCATATTGCATAACACTTTAAAACACAAAATTAAATTATATTTAGCAGGAAGGTTAACAAACACCAATATATTTTCTGAAAAACGTGGATATATTTCACTTCTCAGCTTATGTTCAAAATATAACAGGTTGGAGTTTTTTATATGGACTTCAAATACTCAAAGCAGTTTTTCCCCAAAAAGGACTAGGCAGACAAAAATTAGCCAAGAGAAGAGATTCTTGTAAAATTTAATACCTTATTCAAAAGTACAATAGATATTCAAAAAAATCAGAAAATAGGCTAGAAAATAATTTTTTTTTTCTCTGTAAGTGCCGAATGTTCCCTATTTCTACGCTATTGGTGTAGTCTGGAGCATGAAGTTTTTCTTATGCACTGGCTATGATGTCATTATCATGATAAGTGTACAAAATTTTAAGTGAATATTCTAACTCTGAAAAAATAGTTTTTTATCTATTTTTAAATTATAATTTCAGCACCCCATATCTTCTCAATGGGACATTTTAGGATCTAAGTTTATATGAACTTTTCATGTTATTTTTTGATCTACTTTATACCCTAGTAATATTGCCACATTTCTTTGAAACACCCTTGTCTTTTTTAGAGTTTTTAAATGCTTGCTTATACCTTTGCATGCCATGGTAACGTTTTGTTTTAAATGTACAACTTAGCTTAAATAGTGTATCATCAACGTATGAATCTATTTGTGACTACAAACAGATGTGTTTAGAAGCTTCTTATGAATTAATACATCAGCATTAAGTTTGCAAACATTGTTATCATTTTTTACCATGGATGATAAAAAATGTCATGCTATGTGTGGATGTGTTTGATTACAGAAATACAAATTATTCATCATTTATACCTTGAACTCTTCACTACATGTACATCTATTTTATGTAAAATGAATTGAAATGTTCTGGATTTTAACATAAGAATCAAGTCAATTAGCCTGTTTCATTATGGTAGATGTCCAGTGTAGAAAATATAGCATTCATATGCTGTAATGTTAGCATGCTGATGCTAA